GTTTTATGCTATGTTTGGATGGAGGGTAGAGAAGGGAAGGGGAAGAAAATTTTGAGTTTAACATTGTTTAGCAGTTTTATTCGAAGGGTAAAGGAGGAAAATGAGGGAAGTTTTTACACTAAAAGTTTGCACTCTAAATTGGGGGTAAAGGAGGGGAAGGGAAAATTAATAAGCCGTCTTCCTTTCTCTACCCTTCATTCTCTTCCCTTACACCTTGTTTGGATTGAGGGGAATGAGGGTGAAGGGAAGTTAGGGGAACCATTCACCTCCATTCACCTTGTTTGGGAACACTTAGGGGGTGAAGTTAATTCACCTCCATTCACCTTGGTTCACCCCCTAATAGTATAAAAATTGTTACCCCCAAAATTGGGTGTAACCAAGGAGAAGAGAATTGCTTTTCCTTCCCTTCCCTTCCCTTCACTCAGTTTCCATTAACTTCCCTTCACCCCCTACGAATCCAAACAGACCCTTAGTGAGCTCCTGAACACAGCATTAAAGATAGTTTAGAAAAACATGATATAAGATGGTTTAAAAAAACATGATATAAGCTAATAGCTCTATCTGTATATCTTTTCATTTATGAACCTAAAACTTTAGCTTGAGTTATTTTTAAACCCACTCAGTTTCAGAATGACCCATAAACCCAAATACTAAAATTGCTTTATGTTTAAACTCAAGTTGATGTATTCTTTGTATTTATACACTGTATTTCAGTAATAAGACATTAAATATCCAGATTGCCCTATTCTTCTCTAAACTACATTCGTGAACGCACAGGAAACTGGATCCTGTCAACTGTCCCCTTTGCCGTCTCCGTCCCCATTCCTCATCAGCAAACATTCAAACACATGGAAGGGCAAACTTCCATCACACAAAATTTGAAGCCATTCAATTCTCCTCTCCTGCATGACCACCGTCATCAAATTAAGGCCAACAACAAGAACCTAGAAATCCCAAATCCGAAACCCAACAAAATTTACTCCCCATCAGTAATGTCAAGGATTTCTCCTAATTAGTCGAGACACGTCGACTCGAAGGATTGAGGTGGAAGACTATTAGTTAATGGGCGCATTTGTTGAAAATAAACTTGATTGAATTATCTTAGGAATTGAGAAGATCATTTAGTTATTTGAGGAGTCAAATGCATGAATATGTACATGCATGAATGTTATTGGGAAATTCAAGAGTTTTTGCTAGGAAATCTATGAGTCATAGGAGTAGTATATATATATGTGGTTTGTAAGTTGAAAGAAGTCAAGCGAAGAAGAAAGAAAAATTAATAAAATAATTTTATTCTCGTCCAAATTATTTATCCTGGAAATTGGTATTAAAGCTAAGATGAGTTCCAGTGGAATGATCATGTTTTTTGCTCCTAAACTCATCAAGGAAAATTATGAAAACTAGTGCATTCAAATGAAGACTCTATTAAGATCAATAGATTGTTGTTTGGGATGTTGTGGTGAAAAGCTTTGAAAAGGCTCAAGATGAAGGTGCGCTATTAGCAGCATAGAGAGACTCGCTTAAAGAGTCCAATAAGAAAGATAGTAGAGCCCTCAACTTTATTTACCAAGGAGTTGATGAATCGCTATTCAAGAAGATCTCAGATGCGGCGACCTCAAAACAAGCTTGAGAGATACTTCACAACTTACTATAAGCGAGTAAAGAAGGTGAAGAAGGTGTGACTCCAAACACTTTGAAATGAGTTCGAAGATTTAGAGATGGAGGAAAGTGAACTAGTTTATTACTATTTTCCTCGAGTCTTAACCGTAGTGAATCAACTTTGAAGAAATGGTGAGAAGATCGAATATGTTCGTGTGGTGGAGAAAATTCTCCAATCACTTTCTCAGAAATTTGATGTTTGTGCCATCGAAGAGTTAAAAGACTTGGAGAAGATGATGATTGATGAACTCTTAGGTTCCTTAAATACCCATGAGAAAATATTTAGCAAGATAAATGAGCTAGTGGAGAAGACTCTTCTAACTAAGCTTTCTTTGAAGGATGGCCGAGAAGATTCAAAAGAATGAAGTAACGGTGGTCATGGTCGTGGAAGATTTTGAAACAAATTTCGAGGCTGAGGACAAGGTTTCTATGGTAGAGGAAGTCACAAAAACTTTGAAGAAAGAGATCAAAATTAAAGATCCTTTAGAGACCGTAGACATGGTAGATCTAATGGAGACCGATGGAAATACAACTTTAATGTTTTAAATGCTTTCAATACTTTTAATTAAAATTTCTATGTTGTATCTGGGTTGTATAACTATAAGGAAAAAAATTCTAAGAGATTTACTTTGGAGTTATACATAAAAATGTTTCCTTGAGCAAAAACTACCTATAACAGGATTGTTTAAAGGCATCAAGTAAATTGATTGTTCATCGGCTTCTTTAAATTAGCAAGTTGATCAAGTTTTATGGGTATATTTACTGTAAATCCTCACGAGACTACAACTTGTTGACTAGAGTAACCTAGTGGTTTAAAGGCTTCTTGTATGCACTAAATACAACCACAATTCTTGCGTAAGTGTGTTAGGATTTTTCTTTCTTTCCCTTTCAATTTCTTCTTTACTAGAGGACTAGCAAAAAATTTAGGTGTGTGGGTATTTGATAATCATATTTTTATTATAATTTTATACCATCATTATATATCTTATTTAAATAAATATACCACTAATAATATGTTTTATCTTAACTTGCACGTTAATGAAGAATTAATGAATAAAAACCCAAAAGAATCAAACTCCCTGATTTTCTACCATTTATTGAAGCCCAAATATGAAGACAAAAGAAGGTTTAAGAAAGCTCAAGGCTCCATGAAGAAATCGGGTCAAAAAATCAATAAAAATCTAAACCTGTTGCAAATCAATTGGTCGGCCAACCGATTGGTCAACAGATTGGCCAACCCATTGGTCGACCAATTGGGTCACAATAGAAGTAGATTTCTAACTGAGATTTAACCTTCTTCTCTATGCAATATCCAAGGGTTCTCATTCATTGTTGCAGACTATAAATAATGGTAGAGGGTGAGGGGTTTGAGTGTAAATTTTTTTGTAAAAAATCTATTTAGAGAGGGGGATTACTCTTAATTAATAAGATCTTCCAAAAATTATAACTTTGTTGCAGTTATAAAAAAAATTTCACCTCTTCATATTTTACTTTATTCTTTTTATTTGATGATGAAGATGAAGATGGAGATGAAGATGAAGATTTAACTTCAAGAGGATAGCACTCTCTTATAATGTAAGTTTTTCCTTCTTTCTTTTATTTTCTTGTAATATTTTTTTTCTTATTTAAATGTTCAAGAGGCTGGAACTCTCTTGTTCTAGATTTATTTTGATGCATTGTAGAGTAGATTTACTATTATGTCTTTATTTTTACATTATTTTCTTACCCTTTTTTATTTTGTATTATAGATTTATGTTCTTTTATAGTTTAGATTTACTTTTATGTTCTTTTCTTTTTATTCATAGTTTAGATCTTTAATCTTTGTTCTTATTTTCCACTTTGTAGTTAGTCTTTATTTTTATTATCTTTCTTTTATTCTCTCTATTCTAGATTTTATTTCTTTGTTTTTATTTTCTAAGATGTGGAACTTAATTCTTGTAGAAATTCTAGATTTGTATGAATCTAGTTTAATTTATTTTATAATTTATGAATTATTCTCTTATGCTTAAAATGATCACGTTTAAGATAATCAACTAGAGAACTAATTGGTAGAAGAAAATTTTGATAATGTGAATTTGATAATCTATGCTTATATTGACTGATTTGATAGGTTATGCTTATAAATTCTAGAATTAATATCTAACTGTTGTTCTTTTTATGAATGTTAATTTTACTTGAATGATAATTTGATATGTCATGATTTTCTTAAGTGGTTTGATAGTCTATGCTTAATAAATCTAAAATAAAATATGATAAAAAAATAGTTCATAGATTATAAGTGAAATTAACTAGTGGATTTAATTTTAGATCCTCCATATCTCTAATTGAATCTTCTGTCATTTATTTTCTTGAATTTTCTTTTTGTTCTTGATTTTTCTTTATTTATTTCTTTATTTTATTTTCTTCATCTTTCTTTCTCCCCTCTTAATCTAGTTTTGTTTTTATTTTCACATAGTCACAACCACTCTCTTTATCTCTCCACAACCACTTTTATTTACCCCCTATCAAAGAACTACCACCCAGAGAAAATTTTGCCTAATCTTAT